GTTGTCGGCAATGGCATTGACCATCGCAGACTTCCTCAAAGCATCTTCGACGGAAGCGTCTGCCCATGCCGGCGTATCGTCCGATATTGGGCTGACCGTGTCTGGCTTGACGCATCAACAAAAGCTTCCAACCCAAACTCCGTTCTTGTCGCTTACGTGGAGCAAGAAAGGCAAGAAGTGTGTCATCACCGAGCAAACGCTCGTGGACATTCTGTCGGTTTACGGGCCCGTCAAACAGGTGATTATGGGAACAGGGTCTCGAAAGACTGCCATCGTCGAGTTTGAACAAGTTCAAGACGCACAGGTCGCAAAGAAATCGCTTGACGACAATGGCGCCGTGTTTCATGGCAAGAAATTCCACGTCGAAGCGGCAATGTTGCGCAAAGCATTCGAGGTGCGAACGAAATCCTTTCGACCCCTATGATTGATTCCATTTTTGTGACGCCGCCATCCATAGGACGAGTGCAGCTTCAACAGAGTCCCCAACTACGACACTAGCCGTCGCCAGGTCGACCCGGCGACGTTTGTTCCAGGCTTGCTAGTGTACTATGACTTTATCACTCCAGAGCAAGAGACTCTGCTCTTGGCGGAACTGGACAAAGGCGAATGGAAGCACGACGTGCGCGCGCGCCAAGTCCAACATTTTGGTTACGTGTTCAACTACAAGACTCAGTATGGCCAGATTGGATGTGCAGTGCGCTTACGGGTGCTTTGCTGTAGAAAGTGCGATGCCTCAACACCGCTGGAGAACATGCCGCCCTTTTGCCGCAGTCTCATCGACGCCATGCCATCGACGTTTGACGGAACCCCTGACCAAATCACAGGTTCCACTCGATGAATTGGCGCTTGCCGATTCATGTTGGACGCGTAGCCAACGAATACCTTCCTGGACAAGGCATCTCAGCACACATTGACACGCACTCTGCTTTCACGGGCTCCATCGGGACCCTGAGGTTTGGCGCCATGCTTGTGACAATGCCTTTCTTACCATCTGCGTAGTCTTGGCCACGCGAGCGTGATGGAGTTTCGCCACCCCGACGACGGTCGTTGCGAAACGTTTTTGCTCGAACCGCGAGCATTGTACATTATGACGGGCGCATCTCGATACCAATGGACGCACTGTGTCCATCCTCGGCAGTTCGACGTTGTGGACGGCGCAAAGGTTCCTCGGCAGCGCCGGGTCTCTGTTACGTTTCGAAAGGTTGCAGCAGAGCTTCCTAAACACTGGATTCACGTCATGAAGTGGCATCCTTAGCTCCAGACCACGCCATGCAAATGTGCTTTCCGCGACCAATGCGACTCCCAACTCTACGACGAGGCTATACTCTCGCCCGAGAAAATGTTTCCCACCGAGATCGAGCAGCGCTTTGTCCATGACTTTTATGAAACCATCGCCGACCATTTCAGCAGCACGAGGCACTCTCCGTGGCCCCGGGTCGAGACGTTTGTGCGCGGGCTGCCTGTGGGTACCCTCGTCGCTGACATCGGTTCGTTGGTCTGTCTGTCCAGGGATAATTATGAACACGACGGTATTTGCCGACAGGATGCGGCAACGGCAAGTACATGAAATGCGTCGGTGTGCCGAGCGGATGTGTCGGTGGCGATCGCAGCGAAAGGTAAGAACAGATCGGAGGCATGGCATGAAGTACCTGGGTTCATACAGATCCCGTCTAGTCTCGTGAAAATTTGCAAAACGCAAGACTTGAACGTGACGGTGCTTGATGCGTTGGTCGTGCCGCTGCGATCTGATGCATTTGATGTCGCGCTATCGATTGCAGTCCTGCACCACTTGAGCACCCTGGCCCATCGACTCCAAGCGGTGAAAGAACTTCTGCGCGTGCTTCGTGTAGGCGGCCAAGGGCTCATCTATGCATGGGCTCAAGAACAAACTCAGGTATATGTGTGAGTTGCTATCACATGAAGTTGGGCTGAAGTGGCGATAGGACTCGCGGCGCTCGTTTGACTCGCATAAGCAAGACTGCATGGTCCCATGGAATTTGGACAAGCGATTCGCAAAGTTCGACGCCGAGTCGGGTGAGCCTCTTGTTGTGCAACGATATTGCCACATGTTCAAAGAGGTACTTCCCGTTCTTGCTGCAACTATATCATTGGTGAACTCATTTGAACTGACGCGTAGGGCGAGTTGGACGCGCTCGTGCGGATGTGCGGCAATGCCGTCGTGAACGAGTCTTACTACGATCAGGACAATTGGGCGATTTTGTTCACAAAACAAGCTTAACCCAAAGTACTGCACTGGGAACTGGAGTCCAGGTGCACTGCAGCATTCCCCATCCATCAAAGTGGCAAGCATTCCATGCTGAGGATGGAGCACAGGCATCGTCGCCATCGATACCGGCATATTGAACAACGCATGTGCATTCCTCCGTCGACGGCACATCGATACAACGTTTACAGAAAACGCGAAAACTAGGCGAAAATACAGCGAATTTCTCGGAGTTGCTGTTCGGATACTTTCCGGATGATGTTTGGAAGATCGGATTTGAGTTGTTCGAATTGGGCGCGGCTTAGCATGGCGACACCGGCGGTGGCGGCACGTACGTGAACATAGAGAACTGATGTGGATGATTGAGAGCAAGATCAATAGTCTGGCAGCACCCGTTCGTGGACGTGTTCAAGTATGCGGTGACTGTGCGCATGGAAACTATGACCCGTGGCGACGTCGAGCAGCTCGTGGACAAACTCATTCGGAAGAACGTGTACCGATTGCGGGGCAAGATCGCCGCATCCAACTACTTGCGCATCCCCAAGGACATCCATACATTGCCAAGTATGCATCTCACCGGTCGATTCGTGTACATGGAGCTGCGACGGATGCAATCGAATTCCGTCACGTTTCACTTTGAAGTCAGTACCAAGAAGAAGACGACGCTTCGGTTGACGTTCAGCACCATGTACTCGAACGTTCGAAGCATGGGGATTAACTTGCGCGTGCCACTTACGTACGTGCGAAGGAGCGCGATTGAAAGGTTCTATCCATGGGTTGTCTGTTTAGGCTCACTGACAAGTGGACAGTCGTCGCCTTGGATATGTTGCAGCTACTGGATTTGCATACATCTGCGTCGTACAACCGCGAAGGTTTTGATGCTTTAAAGACCATTGTGTTGTGCTCGTCCATGTATGTGCGGGGTGTATACACGTCGGACATCCTGTACATCCCGGAGGCAAGTAGCAGTGCTGATTTGAGCGTCCGTCATAATGACCGTGCTAGACTTTGCCCAAAGCAATGAAGTTTCCGCTGGTAAAGCCAATGGAAGGCGGAGTGCAAACTACCAACACCTGGGATGCCACTTACGATTGGCGATGGCTGCCCCAGTTACCATGCGAACCAACTTCTAATGCCAAGTCATCCCTGAGCATCAACCACTCCCACGATATTCGTGACTGTGTGCGGTCTCCATCGCGTACATGTGACTCTCCCGTACGTTTCAGCATGCTCGACTTTGCATAGGTCTCGTGGTCGGAACTATTGCTGCACGTGTCATATGCTCTACCCTTGATCCATCTCGACTATCGTTTCCTTCAACTTGACAAATTACTTCTAGGAAAGCAAAGGTCCCTCCCCGCCTGCAAAATCCCCTCGTTGCTCTCCGACCAACCGTCCGAAACTTACGTTCAATCCTACGACAGCCGACGACAACGAGGCGCAATTAGAAGCGTCTCGCGCTAGAGTGCTGGACAAAGTTTGTTGCATTGTCCAAGCCGTCTTGGAGTTTTCATTCGTGTGGTCGACTGATAGGCGGATATGATTCTCAAGAAAGCTGGCATCCATCGCACGTCGCCACCCAAATCATACGTCAAAGCCAAGTACGAACCTTCTGGCGTGTATACCCCCACCAAATACGGTAATCATGCGGGTTTTCGCGCTGCCAACCCAGTTGTGTGGCCGTCACCGGCGCTCACACTGCGCCGCGTCATCGGGTACTCTGTCTTACATCGCCGAGCACTGGCATGGGCGTCGGCTTCGTCCATGTTCTTCTATGCGAGTGAGTCGACTGTGATCGTCGGCCGCCGGGATGGGCAACCGAGCCTTCCATCAAGCTCCAGTACAACTTCCCCAGTCGCGATTGCACAAGAATTTCTCCTGGGGCACACTGATAACGTCACAGCACTCGCGTACTCGCCAACGGCAAGCCTTCTCGTGTCTGCCCAAGGAGGACTGTCCCCTCGCGTTCGGATTTGGCTCCTTACACCCAAAGGTCATTGTATCGCGTCAGTGAAAGCCCACGCGCAAGGTGTCGACGCACTTTCATTCTCTCGAAATGGGACGCAACTGTGTGGTGTTGGTAAGGATTACAAGCGACGCACCCAAATCTTGGTTTGGGACGTCGCCACACCGACACAGCCGGTGCTCGTGGCCAAGCAGCTGTGCGACTACTCCATTGCCAACATGAAGTTCTCTCCGCATGAACATGATCGCCTCGTGTCATGTGGTCGTGAAAGTATTCGATTCTGGCGCGTCAAGGCAGGCCATTTACCCGGTTGCCCCGTCATCCTGCACGAGTACGCGCGGGACACGTGGTTTACTGACCTCGACTTTGATCCCGTCGTGATGGGCAATCAGCCCAACCGACCGCTATACGTGGCATCGTCCCACGGCACCGTCCTCGTCATCGATTACGACTCGATGGCCCTTACCTGCGTGTACAAGTTGCACAATGGTCCGATCCACTGCCTCCGTGTCAATGAAGGGTTTTGCGTGACGGGATCTGAAGATGGCTATATTCGCGTGTGGCCGCTGGATTTTTCCGACTTTTACTTAGAGGCTGCCCATGAAGCTCCCGTGGCGTGCCTCGATCTGTCCGTCGATGGTCTCCACGCCCTCATAGGTTGTGAAAATGGCACCATCGGAGTGCTTGAGATTGGCACGCAGCGGTACACTTCTGTTGTCCGAGCCCACACAAGTTCCATCACGGCCATCACGTTGTCGCCTCGATCCGATTCGTTCGTATCCACGTCGAAAGATGGAACGATTCGTATGTGGGATATCGCGACCGGCACTCAAACGTATGAATTTCAAATGCAGGACGACATGGCAGCGACAGCGATTGCGTACCATCCGCGCAAGGACGTTCTGGCGGTCGGGTTTGCGTCTGGGATGCTGCGACTATTCGACATCCCGACGATGCAAGTCCAAGAAACGTACCAGCAACATCGGGGGCGCGTGGCGAGTATCGTGTACGGACGGTCGGCGTGTTACTCGACTGGAGCAGACGACCAGCAGCTCTGCTGCTACCAAGCGCATGCGACGACAGTACACATGGTGAACTGTTCGTTTCCTACGAATGCGCCGGACAAGGGACGTCTCGCCCTGCACATGGGACTCAAACTTTTGGCCGTTGTGGGCAAAGATGCGTCCGTCGTTGAGCTGCGAGATATGTACACGCTGCGAGTCGTGCGGCTCGCCCAGGGCAAACACCAGCCGCTGCGGCTGCTCGGGTTCGTTGAAGCTCAAGTTGTCGCGCTTGAAACAACTTCCCAGCGTGTGGTTTTCTTCTGCGCTGCCACTGGCTCCGTGCACCAAACATTTCCAGCTCTGTGCAGTGGTGGTCCGATGGGGGATGTTGCATTTACGGCAACGGGTCGTTATGCCTTCACAGGGCGGATTGACCAGCCCCATCTTCACGCTGTGATGCTGGAAACATCCACTCAGCTCCGCGCTGTCCAACTTTTTCCTGGGCAAGCGTCCGGTGTCGCCCAAGTTGGCTTGTGCGCAGACGGGCAGACTCTTGTGAGTTGTGGTGCAGGCTCGGCCGTCTACGTGTGGTCTTTTCACGGTCCAGCACCCGATCAAGAAGCAGGCGGAGCACAAATCCAGGAACACAACGTCGGTGACAACAATTTGCGCGACGAAGCATCCAGTGACGATGATACTGCTTTCTACGACCTACCCCAGCCAGTTGTGGACAATAATGACAACAGCGATGACACTGTCGATAGCGACGAAGTGCCCAATCTCCATGTGCCAACGCCCATGCAGCCACCGATCAAGGAGCGCGAGGTGCTCCAGCCTGTGACGCGTTCGATGGAGTGTTTGCACCACCACACTGTGGGTTGGAACATGCCTCGACACCACCGACCAGCCGCCGCACCACCAGTGATTGTGTGGTCATCGGTGACTGGACACATCGTGGCCGCGGCCGGCTCGACGCTCTTGATCGAGTCTCCGCTCGAGAAAAAGCAAACCACTGTTCAACACCACAAATCTGACGTGATCGGGCTTTGTATGTCGCATGATGAAGCGTTCGTGGCGAGCTTCGACCTCGATTCTGTCGTGATTTGGCGAATTGACCCATGGGAATTGATCGTAGCATTCTCGTGGCCCGCAGACTCCATGTCGAACTTCGTCGTGTGGCGTCCGGATGGTTTGCATGTCCTTGGGGTGGCAACGAAACCTGGCGAGACGACGTTGCTTTTGTGGAATGTCCAGGAAAGCGCTTTGGTGGCGCGTGTCACTACTCAAGTGACCATCGGACAAGTTGTTTGGGCCATGCCGCCATTGAACGAGTACGACACTATCCAAGGTCGAGAGATCTTGTTCTTCACGAGCGTACCGCTTCAAGGGTGGGTCGTGTCCTCGAGCGTTCTCGAGCCCGTGAGCTTCTCGCACGCGAACGCTGTCTCCCTGGTACAAACATCTTCCGAACTGCCTCATTGCGTCCTGCTCTACTCGGCCTCGGATCATACTGTGTCGTTCTTTGACGTGCGCAGTCAAACTATCACAGGGGCTGTCTCGACATTGCGCCGACGCCATGTGGTGCGGCATATGCACTGGGTGCACCCGTACTTGATTGTTGCAACCGACACTGCGCCGTGCTTGTGGGTGTACGTGGTGCACCTAGATTCTTTCACGCTGTCACTGCACACGTCCAGGACGCCCGACGACTTGGAGATTCACACCGTTCGTCTGGATCATGCGATCGCATTCATGTCGTGGAACGATCGCGCTCAAGGACTTGTGCAAACGACGAATGGATCGCTGTGGTTTGTCGAAGCGGAGTCGCATACCAAGCAATTGCTTCGGCGAATTCACGACAGTGCGGTTGAGTGCATCCAGTCGTCGTCCACTCACGTCGTGACGTTGTCTGGTGGCCACACGATTCGTTTGTGGTCGACGGCGTCCCTGGACCAAGTCGCTGCTGTCACCACACCCGATGGGGGCATTTGCGTGGACGTGAATGCAGCATGGTGTGTCGTCGGATTTCAAGATGGGTCATTTCGAGTGTACGATATCCATTTGACTCTGGTGTATGCTTCAAGAGGAGACGAGTTTACTCGCACCACAGCTACGCCATCTTCATCCCCCAAAAGCCCCCGACGAAACACGACCCCTACGCTGCCGCCCCCCATTCAACACTTGCTCCTTCTTGATGATTCCGCAAGTGTCCTGGTCGCATCCGCATCCGGCCGTTGTGTCATGTTCAATGTCCCGACAAAGCACGTACAACCCATCAACCTTCCGTTTGGAGGCGCGACCTCCATCCCTGTCCCGCCAAACGCGCTGGCATCCCAAATAAAAATCCACGGGTCATTGGTGTCTCTGCAAAGCGGTGGGCTCTCCACGTGGCTGGCCGTTTGGCAGTCGGCCGCCAGTGACAAGTGTTATGCCAATGTGTTTACAAATGTAACCACAACCCAAGACGCATGGGAATTGGTAGGGGCGAGTCGACCGTACGCCGCCAGTACCATTTTTTGCAGCGCCGCATTGTCGACGACATTAGTGCTGTACAGTGCCCGCGGCGCGGTCGAGGGACGGTGCTTCGTCCAACGCCAGGTATTGTTTCGCATGAATGTCGACGTCGTACCGACTATGATGCAAGTGCACGGCCACCATGTTTTATGCCGCGGCAAATCGCACGACAACACTGACAACCACAATATGGTTTACGTGCTCGACGTGGCAAACGAATCGATTCATCAGGCGATGTCGCGGCACGACCATTCTGTGATGCTGCTGGAGGATGCCGCACTGGTGGCTGTATCTGGACAATTTGTGGTGGTGTGCCAGGGGAATCGGATCGCAAAAGTGGAGCTGGTCGTTGGTACAACGGAGTTGCCGCGACCAAGCCGTGTCGTAGGAAGCGTGCAGCTAGATTAACAACTTTACGAGAAAGGTGCGGAATCTGCTGCGTCTAATGCTGAGCAATGGGAGCTACTGCCTAGTTGGTCAATTCACCACAGTCTTCGATGACAACAGGCACACTAGAAGAACGAGATGAGAATCGGATGGATCGAAATTCGACGACTCGTACCGGGTGGCACCCGAGCTGCAGCCTTGCTCTTCCATCACTTCGAGCACTTCCAAGCCTTCCACAACCTACGTATCCCGCATGACCTCGATGTTGGAAAGGCTATGTGGATGAATTCGTCGGCGCATACCTTGCCAAACACGACATGGGCTTTGTCCAACCAAGGGCAGTCCACAGTCGTCAAGAAGAACTAGACCGTAACACCGTTCGTGAGGGTTATCCAAATGAGGATAAGCCGTGACGGCACAACGATACCTGGGAACCATTGGTGTTGGGGCCAGCGTTAGCCATGGACAACACGCCTCGGCCTTGGTGCTTCAACACGAACGCTTCATCCTTGAACTTTTCACCGTAGATGCTTTCACCCCCCGTGCCGTTACCGGCCGTGAAGTCACCTCCTTGCGCCATGAAGTTGGGAATGATGCGGTGGAACTTGGACCCCTTGTAGTGCAAAGGCTTGCCAGACTTGCCAATGCCAGCTTCACCAGTGCACAATTGACGAAAGTTTTCCGCGGTCTTGGGCACCTTGTCGGCACGGAGCTCGATCACCAGGCGGCCGGACGACTTGCCGCCGATGCTAATGTCAAAGAAGACCTTGGGGTTGGAGGCAGTGCTGAAGCTGCGGAACAGACGAGCGGCGGATTGCATGTTGGAAGATAATGCTCAATGGTGGCGCTCGACGAATGCCATTCTTCCGGATAATATAATGGATATCCGGAATGCCCAAAAATTTGAATTGAGCTCCACGAACCCCTTAACCCCGAAACCTCTAAACCCCCACCACTCAAGTCGTCCTCATCGTTTCCACAAAGCACTTCAGCAAAGGTTGCAATGAACGCCTCGTCTTTGTGGTCATGCCTGTGCACGCAGCGTACATGTGTCGTGTGTTGTTGGATTGATGAAACCACACCGCCCTCGTTGAATCCAGTCTGCGTTCACAAGTGCCTTGAAAAGTTTTCACTCTCCTATTGTAGCTGTTCGAACATCTTCAAGGTTTGGGCCACCAACCCCAGGGCTCACTACATGACAGAAGTCAAACGTTCACACCACGCAGCATGCAGAACTGCCAACCTTTCGTCGACTTCTTCTTTTTCCCGGGCATACGTCGAATCGTCGTCTGCTTCTCGCCAACGTGCACTTTCTTCACCCAGACTGTTTCCAGCCGTAGCCGAAGGAGGTTCCAAATCGTGAGATCTCCCGTGAACAATGGAACGAGCTTCGGGGCTAAGATTAGCTTGCGAGAAGCTGTGTCGAGGAAGACTGCACACCCGTACACCTTGACGAGAGTCGCATTTGCCATCACGTTGAGGAAGATGTTGGGGACGTCGTCGGTGCACACGAGGAACTGCATGTTGAGCAATACCCACCCCGTGCGCCACAGATGGGACTGATTCACTTCAAATGCATCTTTGTCAAAACGAAATGGGGTAGGGCGGACGCTCACTAGGCCATGAACCCCGCCACAGTCTGGCAGGAAGTGGTCGAGAAATCGCAAAGGAACGGCGGGGTGCATGTGCATCTTGTCAGCGGGGACGCTATCAGGTGACCGTTCGTCCACCACAGTGACGCGCTCAGCTATGATGGCCACACATTTCCACACGGCGACGAGCAAAACCATGCCAGCGCAAGGAGCGAAAAACCACAGGAACTGCGTCGCGAACAGCCAGCTTGGAGAATCGTTGGTCAAGCGATATCGCGTCCACAGATTCATTCCGGTCGTCGAGTAGCGGACCAAATTGCGAATGTACATTTCGTTCATTGCGTCCTTCACGGCCGCCTCCATGGTTGGTGAGATGAGGGTGGCGACGACGTCCTCGCTGTACTTATAGCAGACGACGTATACGAGGGTGGGGATGATCGGAGGGAACGGCACCCGCATCGACGTTGCCAGTATGTCCGTCCAGGTCAAGAAGAGCGCGAGAAAGTCGGAGCGGACTCCGTCAACAAGAGAAAACATCGGCAATAGCTTGTACCGAGTCATTGCCATCGTGATCATCCATTCCTCGAGCGACCATAAGCCATTGAGTGCCAACGTGATCAGGACAAGAGCCGCGCGCGCTTTCACGACTTGCCGGATGCTTGAGTACACATCTTGGAGCATGAGCCGGTCCCCCGTTTTGCTGTATAACCGTGTGACCAACGACACGTTGAGTGCCAGGACGAGTTGAAACGTGTTATGCACAACACCAAACCCAATGACGAGTCCTTGAATCCACGCCCACGCGTCTTTTGTGTGGCCGAGCGACGCAAAGAAGTCGACGACAAAGTCCCGCACCGGATTCGTCGACATCCCAATCACATACCTAATGAAATTGGCCTGATTGTCCGGGCTGCCTCGAAAGTAGCCTACAGTCGACAAGGCGCCGTCCTAATCGATGAATGGCCACAAACGACTCAAGCTGGCGCACCTGAATACCCATTGATGGCCAACGACTCGTTGGTCGCCTTGATGCGCCAGTTGTACTGGTTCGTCGGAAGCATGCCGTCGTCGTGCGTGTCGTGGAACGCCGTGCCTTCCTCGTATGGAAAATCGAGCGATACCAACGTCCGGTACTCGGACGTCCCGGCGTACGCGAGGCCGTAGGTCATCCACTCGTCCGTTGCGGCGTCCGGTCGAAGCGAGAACTTGCTCAAGGTCGTCGACGACACGATCGCCGCCCCCACCTGGACCTCCATGTGGGTCGTTGACCGCATCGCGTTCATCGTTTGAAGTGCAAATGAACTCATTGTCGTCATGCCGACGTCCACGACGAACGCTTTGAGTATGGACGTGTCTTGGTATAACCGACCGTTGTAGTCGCAGTCGACCCACACAACATGCGTCAGCGGAGACGCATGGAGGTCGATGGGCGAGTTCATGCCATCGAGCATGCGCTGCAGCAGAGGCAGCATGTACCAGTCTGCGTACAGGCGGTCACTGTCTCGATACCCGCCAAAGCTCGTGCAGTTGGTGTATGCGATGGAGTAGTCGTCCGGGTCGGACAGACTGGGTTCGATGTACATAATGCGGTGGAGACCGGCGGCGGCCGTGGCAAGTTCGTCGAGCTGCCGCTGGCGGTTGAGTATATGCATTTTGATGTATCGCGGCACGGTGAGGGCATCGTACTGGTACGATCCGA